GTATGGGTGCCCATGCCCAGAGACAGTGGATTTCCTGAAACTGCTCGCGGAAACAGCTGCAAGGCGGTTCTTTAACGCCGAGCCCACCTCCTACCAAGCTGCCAAGCTTCTACACCAATACCGGCAGCGGTGGTCGGTGGCTCTTCAAAGGGGGCAGTCGATTGGCTACCTAGAAAAGTGCAGCATAGCAGCTGCCGTAGAATACCCACTGCTAGAGCCAGTGGGGGAGGCCCCGTCCCTAGGGGACTGCCTCTCGGTTCTGGATCCTGCTCTGGACCTAGCTTAAGGGGGGGGGGGGGGGGGGTGGGTGGGGGGGGGGGTAGAGCCGATGTGTGCGTAGTTTGAGGGATATGCATCAGACATCCGCCCGTTTAGTTTTCACCTTGCATACCTGTATGACCTTGTATCAATCAATGAAAGGGCCATTCGAGAGAGAGAGAGAGAGAGAGAGAGAGAGAGAGAGAGAGAGAGAGAGAGAGAGAGAGAGAGAGAGAGAGAGAGAGGGAGAGTGCTCACATCCAGAGACGGAGGTGGGTGTCGACTCTATCGGTGAAGATCTTAGACAAAGGAGAGCAACAACAAGATACATGAAGAGAGAGAGAGAGAGAGAGTAAAGTAACGGGGTAAGAAAACTCAGCTGAAGTGGTTGTCGACTGAAGGCCATCATTGAAGGCCAAAAAGAACGACAGCAAGAGAGCTCAAGACAGAGAGCAAAGAGCGGAGGGCAAGGAAACCCAGTGGGTCTGAAGGTCGAGTGCAGCAGATTGCTCCCTCCATCAGAAGCACTGCCTCCTCGCCCTCGCACACGGGTGGTCAGCAGGGCGGGTAGAGGCAGCCACACGCCTGTGGCTGCCGGCCGTGCGTCATCCCACCGCGCGCGCTCGTCCATCCGGGATGCATGCGCGCCATCCACGGCCCGCATGCCTCCGTTGCACGCACTCTTGTTGAGTGTGCTCTGCTCCATGAGTGGCGAGCAGTGGTCAGCAGGACAGACAGCAGCAGTGTTGCCAGCCGTGCGTCATCCCACTGCCGCCCTCTGCTGGCTCTGCATGAGGAGCAACAAAAACAGAGAGACGATACAGAATGGAACTCGCCATGGGGGAGAAATCTGGAAACATGAGAGCGGAGAGAACGAATGGCAAACACGAATGAAAGCCAAACAAGTATGAATGACAAACAAGAATGAAAGGCAAACAAGTATGAGTGGCAAACAAGAACGGACGGCAAACAAAGAACGGTCGGCAAACAAGAAAGGACGGCAAACACGACTACCAGAATATAGATCGACAATTGACGAGAGAGAACAAGAGAGTTAACCGGGGGGACCTTCTGTTTTACCAAGGGGTAACCGGATGTCTCACTCACTTCCAAAGGAGGTGGTGGTGGTCACGGGTGTCGCCTCGATCGAGTGTCGATTGAAATTCAGAGACAAAAAGAACGACAGGGAGAGAGATCAAGTCAGAGAGCAAAGAGCGGAGGGCAAGGACACTCAGTGGGTCTGATTGTCGAGTGCAGCAGATTGCTCCCTCCACCAGAAGCACCGCCTCCTCGCCCTCGCACGCGAGTGGTCAGCAGGGCGGGTGGAGGCAGCCACACGCCTGTGGCTGCCGGCCGTGCGTCATCCCACCGCGCTCGCCCTCCCCATCCCGCCAGCAGTGCCGTCCTCAGCCCGTATGCTCCCCTTGCTGCGCACCGTCCTCAAGATTTTCCTGCCAAGGAGCGAAGAGAGACATTCAGAGGCAAGAAGATTAGGCTGGGAAGATGCATGCACAAGGCGCTAAGACAAGCGCGGATATGATTTTCAAGGATGGCAAAGAGAAGTGATGAATGCACAAAGAGCGCATCAGAATGCAAAACAAGAACGAGAGAGCAATTATGGCAAACGAGAAAGAGATAGGAAAAATGGCAAGCGAAACAAGCTAGCAAGGATGGCAAACAACAGAGACAAGAAAAACACACCAGTACATAAAGGGTTAACTGGGGGGACCTGCTGTTTACCAAGTTCTTACCGGGGGGACCTGCTGTTGCACTCACATTCAAAGAAGGTGGTCATGGGTGTCGCCTCAAAGACAATTCCCAAGACAAACGAAAACAACAGAGAGAGTGCTGAAGATAGAGAGAGAAGAAACGAGGGCAAGAAACTCAGGTTGTTTGCTTGTCGACTGCAGCTGATCATTGCCTCGCGTTGACAGCAGGCCTCATTGATTCGCGTTTACTACCGTCCACCCCGCCATCCGCCTCACGCCAACACAGCAGCAGCACCGCTCCACCTCCAATGCACTCCAACGCAGCAGCAGAGGTAGCAGCCAGCACCTTCTCTCGCCAGATCCAGCGCCAGTCAGCACCTTCTCTTGCGAGTGCTTCTCCCGCGGCAGCACGGACGCAACAACACCTCTCCAGCTCCAACGCAGGAGCACACCGCTCAAGCTCTTGACAGACCATCTTCTCTGGCAGGAAACCACGCTCCTGCACAGACGGAGACAGTTCAGATCACAACGAGTGAGATACGCCATCATAGGAAACGGAAATACGCCAGATTGAACGCCAAAAGAGCAGAATAATAGCAACTCGAGAGATGAACTTGAAAACATACGTCATGAAACGTTTACCCTACAGTTAGCGTGCGCTGTCTAAGAATTAGAATCTGGGGTTTGGACGACAGCTCACCACAACCGGCGAGCTCCTCCGTAGCAGCGGAAAATGGCTCGAGCGTCGACGAAAATGGCTCCTTCGCCCCCCAAATCTCGACGTCGACGTCAAAGTTCACAACGAAGCTCCTTCGCGAGCCTCTCCGCAGTCGTGAGCTTGACGTATAGACGAATCTTCCGAAGCTTCTCCTCTATCGTCCTCGCGAGTGTCGACGGCCTCGCGAGCTCTTTCAGATCGACGAATAGTAGTGGAAGCAACGAAGAATCTTTCCCATCAAGCATTTTGCGACCGCGTCGACTTCACGAAGAGCATCCATCATCCATCCATTCGCGAGCGCTTCCATCATCCATCCATTCGCAAGCTTCGCGAGCTCTACCGTCGCCTCTGAAAAAAGCTGCTCCCGGTTGTAACTTGATCGTCAACGTCAGGACGTCTTCGCCGAAAACGTCTACATATGTAGTAGTTGTTGGAAGCGACCATGCATGCTGCGAGATCGATCAGTGCTAGGGTTCTTCGAGTAGTAGTTGTTGGACTCTGCGAGATTCGCACTCAGAAAGATGCTGAATGGTTCATTCGAAACCGAATGAAACTCATCCTCATCTATCGCAACGTCGCGAGCGAAAAATGATGAGTCGTATCGTCCTACGAAGAACCCTAACCACGCGAACGGCGTCGTAGGAAGATGCCGAATGACCGCCGCCAACGTCATGGTAGAAGGATTGCAGCTTGCGAGCTTGACACAGGAAACGGAGCTGACGTCGAGAACAAGAGCTGATTAAATCATGAATCGATGTGATATCATTCAAGCTTCTACATTCGATGAGATTAGCGAGATTATGGTCGCTGAACAAGATCCAGACGATGATCGGGCATTCTAGCGGCCGGTCGTCCAGGAAACGATGTGAAGGTTGTTCAGTTGAGAGAGTAGAGCGTTTTAATTTGAAGCCTAAGCTTGATGTTAAAGGGACTGCTAGTTTTGACGCACATGTCACCGTGAGACTGAGCGGGCGTCGTAACAACTGAAGAAGCGGCCATGGACGGACAGAACGAGTTAGCTAAGAGAAAAATCGAGCCAAGGAAAATCGAGCTGAGGGACGATCTGACATAAGCTCGGATGTGATGTGTGAAGGATTGCAGAACGGTTTCCAGCATTGCCTGGCTGGAGAGAGATGTGGGAAGCAAGCGAAGCAGTGAAGCGGGGAGGGGGAGGGGAGGGGAGGGGAGGGGAGGGGGGGGGGAGGCAACGCCCAGGGCAAATAGGAGAGGTGCTTTGCCTGATTTGCAGTGAAGGATTCGGCAAGCCCAAGGGGGACGCCGCATGGCCATGTGCTGACAGGCGGTGGAAAGTCTGCCAACGTTTTCTGCCAAAAAGGGGGGAAAACTGCGGAAGGTGAAGCGGCGCGTCCGAAAGAATGAATGAGTTGAAACTCTTCGCGAAAACAGAAAGGCATTGTGCGACCAAATGGGTTGCTTCTGCGAAGGGTAACCGTGCTGTTCCCCGCTAGGCACTGACAAGTTTCCGACTTTTGGATTCCAGGGCTGCGCACCTTCGAAATTGAGGGGGAGCCAATCCCCGCGACCCTTTAAAACCGCGGTGCAGATATCGCTGCGCCAGTTCAAAGTATTATAGCTTGAAAGGCGCGTTACCCAGTATACACTGGAAGTCGAGCAGGCAGAGCTTTCTGAGAGTGGGGGAAGGGCATGCGGAAAAGTGCCTCGCAGCATGATGAGTGGGGGGGAAGCTGGGGAGGGCTTGCGGAAAAGCACCACGCAACAGCATGAAGGGGGGGCCAGGCATCAAACTTGAAACTTGAAACTTGAACTCAAAACTACTCAAACTCAGCAATCTCTCACACTAGGCTAGGTTTCTACTAACTTGAAGTCCCTTCCCGTAGGGCTACTGAGAGCCATTCGCCTCAGATCTATCGCTCTTCTTCGCCTCTTAGTGTGCGCTCGAATATCTGCGCTATTTCGTACCTCAAAAACACCACGGCAGTCGTACGCGAAGCGCATTGCGCTCGATTTCCTCCGCTGTCGTCGTTCTGTTTTCCCTCTCCCGTCCCTCTATTTCTCACGAATCGGCGGTGGCAAGCAGCGACGATGACGACAGGCAGGATTGGGTGCGACGGTAGCCAGCAGCGGAGCGACGATAGCGAGCAGCGCGTCGACGGTAGCATGCAGGGTTGCGACGTTAGCGAGCAGCATGGCGACGGCAGCGAGCAGCATGGCGACGGTAGCGAGCAGCATGGTGACGGTAGCGAGCAGCATGGCGACGGTAGCGAGCAGCATGGCGACGGCAGCGAGCAGCATGGCGACGGTAATAGCGAGCAGCGATGACAAGCAGCGGGGCGATGTTAGCGAGCAGCAGGGCGATGTTAGCGAGTAGCGGGGCAAAGCGTTTGTTCCTCGGTAGCGAAGCATCTCGTGTCCCACCCTTTCCCCCCCCGTCCCAACCATTTCCCCCTTTCCGATCCCTCTTCCTTTCCGATCCCTTTTCCTTTCCGATCCCTCTTCCTTTCCGATCTCTCTTCCTTTCCGATCCCTCCCCCTTTCCGATCCCTCTCCCTTTCCCACTGCTTCTCTTCCCACTCTCGCCGTCCCTACTATCCCCATTCATTTCCGTCCCAATTCCCCATTCCCTTTCCCACTCCCGTGTCTTCCCTTTCCGCCACTCCGGTCTCTCCCCTTCCCTTCCAACCGTCCTTCTCTCCCTTTCCCCCTGTCTTTCCCTCCCTTTCCCCCTGTCCTTCTCCCCCTTTCCCCCTGTCCTTCCCTTCCTTTCCCCCCTTTCCTTCTCCCCCTTTCCCCCTGTCCTTCCCTTCCTTTCCCCCCTTTCCTTCTCTCCCCTTTCCCCCTGTCCTTCCCTTCCTTTCCCCCCTTTCCTTCTCCCCCTTTCCCCCTGTCCTTTCCTTCCTTTCCCCCTGTCCTTCTCCCCCTTTCCCCCTGTCCTTCCCTTCCTTTCCCCCCTTTCCTGCTCCCCCCTTTCCCCCTGTCCTTCCCTTCTTTTCCCCCCTTTCCTTCTCCCCCTTTCCCCCTGTCCTTCCCTTCCTTTCCCCCCTTTCCTTCTCCCCCTTTCCCCCTGTCCTTCCCTTCCTTTCCACCCTTTCCTTCTCCCCCTTTCCCCCTGTCCTTTCCTTCCTTTCCCCCTGTCCTTCTCCCCCTTTCCCCCTGTCCTTCCCTTCCTTTCCCCCCTTTCCTGCTCCCCCTTTCCCCCTGTCCTTCCCTTCTTTTCCCCCCTTTCCTTCTCCCCCCCTTCCCCCTGTCCTTCCCTTCCTTTCCCCCCTTTCCTTCTCCCCCTTTCCCCCTGTCCTTCCCTTCCTTTCCCCCCTTTCCTTCTCCCCCTTTCCCCCTGTCCTTCCCTTCCTTTCCCCCCTTTCCTTCTCCCCCTTTCCCCCTGTCCTTTCCTTCCTTTCCCCCTGTCTTTCTCCCCCTTTCCCCCTGTCCTTCCCTTCCTTTCCCCCCTTTCCTGCTCCCCCTTTCCCCCTGTCCTTCCCTTCTTTTCCCCCCTTTCCTTCTCCCCCTTTCCCCCTGTCCTTCCCTTCCTTTCCCCCCTTTCCTTCTCCCCCTTTCCCCCTGTCCTTCCCTTCCTTTCCCCCCTTTCCTTCTCCCCCTTTCCCCCTGTCCTTCCCTTCTTTTCCCCCCTTTCCTTCTTCCCCTTCCCTTTCCTACTTTCCCCTCCCACCATTAACCCTTCTCTCAGCCATCCCTTTCCCCCCTCCCCTGTCCCTCCCCTTTCCCCTCTCCCGTCCCTTCCCTTCCCTTTCCACTATGTTCTCTCGTCCAGCCCAGACGACAGCACCAGCTTTGCTTGGCCACTGCACCGTGCCTATCATATCTCAGTTTCCATCCGTCCTTCAATTTCCCTACCTAATATTCTTCAATAATACGCATCGTGTCCTTTCTGTCAAAATAAGCTAGAGAGCAGTAGGCTTAGGAGCCATGGCCTTAGTAACTAGGAGCTAGGTTTTAGGGTTGAGGCAAGAGTCGAAGCTGTTTGGCCAAAGAGAATGGATGCACTAGCAAGCAGGGAGGGTGGTTATACTCACTATTGAGTACCCCACTGCAGACTAGACAAACATAATATTCTGACACTTCCCCACCCCCCCCCCCCCCTTCCGGTAAATGGGCAGCTGCAGCAATAGTGGATCGGAGTGAAAAAATCGGCTCTCCTTGGATGATGCCATGTTGTTTGCTTGCTATCCTTTGCATAATAATGATTTCAAGATGTCATTCCAAGGCTTGCACATTTGTACAATTGATGAATTATCTCCCCATTAGAAATATTACTTTTGCAAATGTATGGAAAAATAAACCTCGTAAGTGAAGATGTTACGGTATCTTGCTCAGCTTGTTGAAACATAGGGTTTCTCGTTTTGCTATGTGTGTCAAACTGTATATGTTATATACTTGTGTAGGCTGTAGTGGGGTAGCTCATAAAGGGTACAACCCAATCTTAGGGTTAGGATATGTACCAGACTCTGTTTCAAATTAAGTCATTCCTGTCTCTAGTTTCTAACATGGTTTCAGAGCAGTAGGTCCGTAGGACCGTTTTTTTTTTTTTTGGGTTGCGAAGCAACCTATTACAATCGTTATGTACAATTTTTTTTTCCATCGTTATGAAAAAAAATAGCGAATCGTGGCTAAGTGATTCAATGCTGTGTATTTGCCACGACAATTTAGCACGTGCCGTACCACATTCTTTCACATTTCCTAGGTAGTTCGCCTTGACTGGTAACCTATACTTTATCGATGAAACATAAACATGACTTGCCAAAATGATGTACCGTAACTGTGAATGCGTGACCGTTTATTCGGTAATGCATATGCCGGAATATATAATGTATAGATGAAGTATAATGATGATTGAGTGCAAAATGCATAAATATACATGCATATACGACTGTGGTGAATATACATGTGCTCTGTTTATTTCGGTATAGGTCCGGTGCAGTGAAATGAATGCATGGCATGATGGAAATGCGTGACAGTTAATTGACCCAGACCTTATGCTACCGCATCCCCTGCCTAGCATGGGGGGGAAGTCGATAGCATAGTTCCTGAATCATCCAACTGTTACATGAAACAACACAATCTGTGTAAACTAAAAAAATGATCAAAATCCATCAAATCCAGTTCAAGTGAACACACTCACTGAGTGGGCAAAGAACCTTCTCGGAAATGATAGCTTGACCATTTTTTTAAAATCCACAGATACGCATTGTTAATGCAATAGCAGGTGGATATGTATGAATATGCACACAGAGACACATACGCACACACGCACATACCGATATGCACACACAAAGACGAGTCACAATCAGAAAATGAACCTAAAAGAAATCTAACATAACAATGCAGTAGCATCAATCATTAACATTTCAAACAAAAATCAAACAAAATCCTTTTAATTTCCACATTAGCTTCGAATGTTATAGCGAAGACCCTGGGAGGGAAACGGGGGAAACGTGGTGGGAAGGGAAAGGAACGGGGCAGAAGGGGCAGAAAAAAGGACGGAGGCAGAGACACATTAGAGAACTACGATACGACGGAATTACAGGATTTGAAACGTAGGCAGGTGGGGAAGAGAAGTACAAAGGAGAATAACGAATAAAAATACCAGATGTGATAATAACCGCATAGAGGAAACGCAATAATCTGGGCAAGGAAAGAAGAAAACATAAATGAGCTCGTATATAGTAGCGTTTTGATAGATACATAAACGAGCGAAAGAGTTTGACAGAGAGAGAGAGAGAGAGAGAGAGAGAGAGAGAGAGAGAGAGAAGAGAGAGAGAGAGAGAGAGAGAGAGAGAGAGAGAGAGAGAGAGAGAGAGAACGAGAGAGAGAGAGAGAGAGAGAGAGAGAGAACGAGAGAGAGAGAACGAGAGAGAGGGAAACGAGATAGAGAGAACGAGAGAGAAAACGAGAGAGAGAACGAGAGAGAGAGAACGAGAGAGTACGAGAGAGAGAACAAGAGAGAGTACGAGAGAGAGAATGAGAGAGAGAGAACGAGAGAGAGTACGAGAGAGAGAACGC